TTTTTAGGAATGTTAATCAGCTCAAAAGAATTGCATGCTTTTCTAAAAGAAGGAATTTGTTTTTTCAATCAGGTTGTTCTTTTCCCAAAGAGATAATCTTTCTTTTATGTCAGGATATCACTAAAGAAGAAATGCAACACTTTTTTGCTATTACTATTTATTGTCCATTTTGAAGTCTAGTTTGTACGAGTCTCTATATATAATAGTTTGTGTATTTATGTGGGTGTGTCGAAATTGAGAAGATGGAATCAGTTTATCTAGTAGAGTGTGTACTATTAGTTTATATCCTATAAGCTTTATTTGTTTTATAGAGTATTTTGTTTCTATTTTTACAAATTATCTTATCTATTTCCCAATCATATCAGGAAACCACACATTATTATACATGCAATTTCAGGACCTTATACTGGAGATTAAGCTATGGTAGCATAAATTAACATCATATGGATGTTTTCTTTAATTTTTGGGAAATAGATATGATATATTGTAGAAATAAAAATAAGATATTCTATAAAACAAATAAAACTTACAATATTTTGACTGATAATAAACACTCTGCTAGATAAACTAACTTCATTTTATACTACACACTCATTTGGATAAATTGACTCCAACTTCTCATTTCCGATACTCCCACACAGATACACAAATTGTTATATATAGACACTCATACAAACTATACTTCAAATTGGAATATAAAAAATACAATAAATAGTAAAAATTTAATGGTGACTGATTCTTTCTATAGTGATAACTCTGTGGAAATAAAGATAATTTTTATTAGGAAAAAACCCAGGTGGCTGCTTGATTGAAAACTAGATCCTCTTTCGGAAAAAACATATGTTTCTTTTGAGTTGTCTAACTAACTTGAGAAAACATATTCCTTCTTCTAGAAATGCATTTGAATCTTTTTTGTTAGGGAGCATTTTTTAATTTTTGATCGATACAAAGATTTATAATGGTAGGGTCTTTATTTATTTTTCAAAGTTACGATACTTTTTATAATGTCATATTGTAATTCTTCCAAATTATCTATTATATAATCACTGATTTTTAGGCTCTTTCAGACTAAGGCTTTTTTTTCTTTTTCATCTAAAAATAATTCTGCAATTTTCTTATGTAGTCTTCTCTTAATTCCCCCAAGTGATTAACTGGGAAATTTTTTAAAAAGATTTATTATGGAAGACCTTTAATGAAATTTCTTCAAATTGAGGTGCTTTGGATAATATCTCATTATCATACATAATCACTTTGCTAATAGATTTAATCTTATTATCATCTTTAATTGCTACCTACCATTTAACAACAAAATTTTAATCAAATATTTATGATTTGAGGAATCATGCTGAATTTCTAAATTCCATGACCAAATCTAAAAGGATTTTACATTGGGTAAAAAAGAAAAATTCTGATTGTCCATCAATAAGGGCTTCTATGGAGATTTTTGTAATATGAGTAGAAGATTCAACCATATCAGAGTATTTTTCCTTAATTGGAGAAGATTGAATTTGAATTATTACTTTTAAATCATCCCATCATTTATAAATCTACTGGGATATTTCTCTAGATATAATTTTTGCCATCATCACAAATATCCATGAATGCTTGTGTTTAGAATTAAAAATACAAAATTTTTTGCTCATGCTTTCATATATATGTATAATAATAAAAAGAAATGATCCTTTGTTAAGTTAATTTTGGGCTTTGTAGCCAATCGTTTTAACCTATTGGGGGATAACATGAAAATTCTATTGGGGGAGAGGGAGAACGTGATTTATTGTCGCTTTCCTCTAAGTAATAAATTTATTTAATTTGTTAAAATTGTGTTGAATTTCAAAACATTTCAAGAAAATTAGTATAACTTCATTGATATTTCGGTCATAAATAAATTCTTGAGAAAATGGGTTGTTATCATATAGCGTTCAAAGATTATCCAATAGAAAAGAAACACAATTTTAATAAAGTAAATAAATTCTTGAGAAAATGGGTTG